GCTAAGATTCTGACCATTTCGCTCACCTCATATGGCTTCAAGCTCATGAGTGGCCTCACGTTGGCCACGGTCAATAGGGTGGAGGTCATTGCTACAAGGATCTACTAGGGTGGAAGCCATCGCTGTTAGGGTGGAGGCCATCGTTAGTAGGGTGGAGGCCATCGCTACTAGGGTGGAGGCAACCGCTATTAAGGTGGAGGCCATCGCTACTAGGTTGGAGGCCATCGCTATTTGGGTGGAGGCCATCGCGAGTAGGGTGGAGGCCATCACTACTAGGGTGGAGGCCATGATCTGAGTTGCCTATTCTTCTTCTAGTCCACGCTCATTTGATGTTCTTTCGACACACAATCAAAACGCCCAACCCCGCAAATATGAAAAGAGAACGAGAGCAGACTCAGCCAAGGAGCCGGGATGACGCCTCCCCGCATACACGATCTGCCTTTCCTGTAGTCATCAGGTCTTGCCAGAGTTGATGCGAGTGACATGCAGGTGACATGCTCGCTGCCTGGCTTGCAAGCTGCAAGTGATGTGAACAAGCCCGACCATTCCTAAGCACATGAGCAGGTTGCGCTTGAAAAGTTGCACGGAGAGAAAACGCTATTCGCTCATGGCAGGAAACGCAGGAACTTGGGCAAAACAGGAAACATCAGGAAACGCGTCACTTCATTGTCTCGTCTGCGCTTGGGATTTGTCTTCTGCGACTGCCCTCAGGATTCGTTTCTCTGAGTCGCACAGAAACAGGTCGCTAAGATTCTGACCATTTCGCTCACCTCATATGGCTTCAAGCTCATAAGTGGCCTCACGTTGGCCACCGTTAATGCTGTTAGATCCAAATAGTCAAATGGGACGGAATAATAAGAAATTTTCGCAACATTATTCCAACACCGTGAATAACTTAATGGGACGGAGTGATAAGATGTTTTTTCACCCAGGGTGTGTTCTTTTAATGATTTGTTTCTTTTTATATTGTTCTTGTATTGCTCCCCCTTCAACATACTTACTTATATAGCTCTTCTGAGCTTTGTTTTTGATTCATGGAATTCTGACCTGGAAATCGTTTTCAAAAACGCTTATTAAAACTCAACGATTTCGTTTCTCCAAAATACTTTTCGAGGGGATAGTACACCAGCCCAGGGGAATGAATAGTATCAATTGTTTAGGGAGTGGGATTAATAAGCAAACTTGGAGCCCTAAGCGAAAAGAACGAACTTTATTATTGTTCTGCTATTCCTGCTCCTTACTTAACTCTTCTACGACTATAACTACCAGTACTACTAGTACTAGTAGTACTACTACTGCTAGTACTACTACTGCTACTACTACTACTGCTACTGCTACTCCACTCCTACTACTACTACTACTACTACCACTACCACTACTACTCCTACTACTACTACTACTACTACTCCTGCTACTACTACTACTACTACTACTACTACTACTACTACTGCCACTACTACGACTACGACTACGACTACTACGACTACGACTACGACGACGACGATTACCACTACTACTGCTACTGCTACTGCAGCGAATACTAATAATGTTATTTGTGGTGGGGATTCTATTCATACTCCCTCGATTGTTTGCTAGGGGGGGTTTGCTGATTAAGATCAAACATTAGGGTGGAGGTCATTGCTAATAGGATCTACTAGGGTGGAGGCCATCGCTACTGGGGTGGAGGCAATCGCTAATATTAAGGTGGAGGCCATCGCTATTAGGGCGGAGGCCATCGCTAGTAGGGTGGAGGCCATTGCCACTAGGGTGGAGCCATCGCTAGTAGGGTGGAGGCCATCGCTAGTAGGGTGGAGACCATCGCTAGTCGGGCGGAGGCCAGCGCTGTTAGGGTGGAGGAGGCCATCGCTAGTAGAGGCCATCGCTGGTATGGTGGAGGCCATTGCCACTAGGTTGGAGGCCATCGCTATTAGGTTGCAGGCCATTGCTACTAGGTCGGAGGCCATCGCTATTAGGTTGGAGGCGATTCCTACTATAGGTTGGAGGCCATCGCTACTGGGGTGGAGGCCATCGCTATTAGGCAGGAGGCCATTCCTACTAGAGTGGAGACGTTCGCTAGTAGGTTGGAGGCCATCGCTCTCAGCGTGGAGACCATCGCTAGTAGGGTGGAGGCCATCGCTAGTAGGGTGGAGGCCATCGCTACTAGGGTGGAGGCCATCGCTCTTAGGGTTGAGGCCATCGAATTCGGGTGGAGGCAATAAGTTCCTTTGAAGTCGAGTGGTGATGCATGCTGCTGAGTGACGAGTCTCCGTGCAGCAGCAGCAGCACGTTCGCACAAAAGAGGCCCATTGCCAAATCTCCATGGCCTTAATCAGTTTCGGAAGGGGCAAGCTTGAGATTCCTCTGCTGCCACGGCCCCTGTGCTCTGCAAGCTGCTGAGCTTTTGTGCAACAGTTTCACTCATAAGAATCGCCTCGATTGCCACAGCTGGCTGCAGGATGAATTACTGGCAGTCTTTTGCACAAACATCGGACCATGACCCAACCAGCTCCTGATTTATCGGGGACCCTGGAGTGTCTGGACAAGTTGCGTGCGACGAATGGAGAATAGATTGCATCATCATCTGAAGCTGCACGGTGTTCTGGCCACCTTCTGCTTCTGCTTCCGCTTCTCTCTCTCTCTATCTCTCTCTGTCTCTCTCTCTCTCTGTGTCTCTCTTTCTTTCTTCTCTCTCCCTATCTCCGGAACCGTTTGATACTCTTTGTTTGTGTCAATCTTTCTGTCTCCGTCTGTTGCGTCTTGAGATTTGATGTGATTTTGCGCCTGTGAGCCCGTTGAAGCGCACAGAGAACATGAGAAGCCACTGTTCCAGGCAAGGGCAATCAACCTGCGACGGAACTTTTACTCAAGATCAGTCAATGTCAAGTTGTTCATCTTCTTCGAAGAATGAAACGAAGCGTTCAAAGGCCAATAGCGATTGGCCTCCAACCTAAGAGTGATGGTCGCAATGGCCTCCAGCCTACTAGCGATGGCCTCTAACCTACTAGCGATGGCATTCAACCAAATAGCGATGCCTCCAACCTAAGAGCGATGGTCGCAATGGCCTCCAGCCTAATAGCGATGGCCTCCAACCTACAGAGATGGCCTCCAACCAAATTTCGATGGCCTCCAACCTAAGAGCGATGGCCTCCAACCTAATAGCGATGGCCTCCAACCTAATAGCTCAAGATCAATCAAACTTTTCGATATTTTTGGATACTTGTTCCCCTGCGCTCGCGGAAACATGTTTGAACACGACTGGTTTTCCAGAATCCAACAAATCCAATGTATCACTTCTGACTTTGTTTCGATACGTTTCGCATTTTGACGACCGGCCTTCCAATCCAACGCCTTCAGAACCTCAAGTTCATGCTCCTTCAAAGTCGAGTTGGTGATCTCCTTTCAGGTGCGAAAACAAATGCGGCCCAAGTGATGAATCAAACATCATCAAACCCAGCCTCTGGGATGCTTCTATAGATTCTACGTATTTGTTGTTCTGTTTGTTTTATGGATGTCAAACCCTGAGTTTTTGGAATTTATTTTCCTTGTGTTCTCTGCGTCAGGCCTCGGTCATGCAATCGAAGGTCGTGCCCACCCAAGTGGCAAAGTCCTCCCGCGGATCACAGCAGTTCAGACGTCTGTTCTTAAAGTTAAGCACCATGGCACTGGCACTGAATCACGGTGAACCGTGCGAAGACCCCACCTTTGCCACCGTCAATTGTCCTGCTGACATCCTCAGTGAATTCCGCAGAACCGGTCGGGGAGGCTGTCCGCTGCGCCGCGCCGAGCATGCCAACTGTGCCACACTCGAGCAGGTTTTGCTACCCAGCATCTCAGCCAGCAAAAAATTTTGGTCGTACCATCCTCCGACATTCAACTTCGCCATGATTCTGGAGAGCGCATGCTGAGTGATGCAATATATCACAAACATAATAGGCACATAAATTGATATATATATATATATGTAAAAATTGCGTCTTGGAAACCCCTCAACTACATGATTGCCTTGAATACCAATACCAATCCCGTGTTATCTCCATTCCAGGAACATCCCACCCTCCCGAGACTCGTCTGAATTGAAACGGATTTTTGGTTTATAGTGTGGGGGAGTGGGGGTGGTGCCCCCGTTTACTGGTCAATCGCGGACTTGTGACTCATTAGACTCACATGACCACAAACATGACCACAAAGAGATGCTAGTTTTCACGAATGGAGTGCCTCGACAAACTGGGGCCCTGCACTTCCAATGAAAGGGACAATGGATGACAATGGTCAGTCGACAAAAGACACAATGGATGACAATGGTCATGTTTTTGGACAGGGTCGACTTTGCCCACCCATTCAACTCGGAGTTCCCCAAGCCGAAAGGCACTGCCCCAGCCTTGCAATTGCGGCGCAGGTCAGCGGAAGCTTCGGAAGATTCGCACAACATGAGCTGTAGCGATCCAGCAGTAGAGCCGCCTAGCACAAGTAGTACCCCATTAGCACAACAACTCTCTGTGCCAAGGAAGCCTTTGTCAACTCTCCCTGAACCACCGAAAACGCACCTTAAACAAAAATGATTCCGCCATTCCCTGGCGTCAGCAGGGTCAACAAGACCATGATCATGTCAGTATTGAAACCGGAAAACTCTCCTCCATCAGCATCGCCAAGCAGCCTCAGCTTTCAAAGCGATCAAGAAGAAAGGGGAGATAGACACCAATGTGAACCAAAGCCAAAAGTCGATCCTACCTGGCTATGGAAATCAAACACCCTGGCCATCTGACCCAGAATTGTCCAAGGCCTGGGGTGTTTTTTGTTCACAGCCAACTTTCTTCAATGCTGTGCCACCGCACGTAGAGCCCCAAGGCGTGCGGTCCTTTCCAAAGTCTTGGATCCTTGAAGAAGTCACAATTTGACACAGGTTTATCCAGTGCGATAACCCACAAGGAAAAAAATGTTGGAACGGCAAGGCTGCTGAGTCCGGGGAATTGTAGATAGATATTTCAACAAAAGTGTTTTCAAGTGTGCAAACTCCGCTGTGTCACGTCTGCAAGTTGGCTGCGAAGTGGGTTTGGGGGGGTATCATGCAAAGCGCCGTGGAGCCAAAGAACAGCGCAGGAAAAGTAGGGTATTGTCACGGTGCAGGTACGTCACTGGACGTCTTGAGTGATATCCTCAGGACACTGCAGAGAGCTTTGTTAAGTGGAAATCTGGAGGCCTGATCCACTCCCCTGCATACTGGTTGAAATTCCCTTGGGGACAGGGTTTGACACACACACACAAGGCCGCTTGGCGGCGCACAGCGGGTTCTTTTCCTCGATTCAAAAGCCGTCGGCAAGCGCTCGCCGAGTGCCCCTTGGCCAGGTAGAGGTCGATGACGGAGTGGACAGCTGTGCAGGCTGCTTGTGGTGGGTATGTATACTTGCGATGAGAGGCACAGGCGTTGGGCGCCGGCGAAGGTTGTATGTAGGTAATTGTGCGGGGGGTGAAGGCAATGTTGAATCCGAGGAGGTGGAAATCATTAACAGGTTCAAGCTCCACGGGGTCCCCGGGTGAATGAAGGTTTGGATAGCTGAGCGCTTTTGGAACTGGTCATTGTGGGCGATGAAACGGTTGTTCACATAACGGTAGTAGGTGAAGTGCAAGTGTGTGTGGTTGAGAAGGTTGTTGTGGAGTTGATGCCAGGCATGTTCGATGAGTGTGATAGCAACATTGCAAAGGGCCGGAGAGAGTTGGGATCCATGCTCCACGAATTTGTTGAGAGGTGTGATTGCAGGCCCGGAAAATGCATGTGTCCAGAGCAAAGGACACGATGGTAGGGATGTCGTTGACGTGAATGGTGCGTTGAGTAGGACGCTGACGGTGGTGTCTCCCTATGTGGGAGTGATGGATGCCAGTAGGCGCAAAATCAAGGTGTTGGTAGGTTGTTGTTGCTGCCAGTGGTTGATGAGGCTGTGGATTGCTTCAGGCAGGCGACGCTGAGGGACTGAGTTGAAGAAACCAACTAGGTCATCGTTTGCGGCGTGGAGTCTGAGTGTGATGTCAGGCGGGGTTGTGGGAAGTACTGCCAGAGGTGGGGGATAGAAAATTGGCCTGGGTGCTGAGGGTATAAAGATGTTGAGAGTGGTGTCAAGGGCACGGCTGCACACCCGGAACAGGTTCCCTGCCAAGGAGTGGTAGTACGAAATGATGGGGATGGTGAAGGCTTTTCGATAGTACGTAACGAGGGGGGACTGTGAGATGGGGTAGAGATGCAGGACGACTTGATCACCGAGGTACTCCCGGAGTTGTCGGAGCAATCTGGCAGTGAAACGGGGTTGGCTGTGGAGTCGTTGTAGATGGTGTTGCCATTGTTTTTGCAGAAAGGCTTCGGCATGCTGAGTGAGCGATGGTGGGAGGCCGTGTGCGCGTAGCCATCGCTGCAGTAGTGCGTCTTGGTAGGGTAAAAGGCGCTGTTCATGTTGGCGTCGAGAAAGATGCGGAGATGTGAGGGGAGGTTGAGGTCGGAGAGAGTGAGGATGTAATGTGGTTCAGTCTGGTGTTCGTCGGGGTCGTTCAGCAGTGTGCGTAGACGTGCGCATGCACAGGGCAACGTATAGTGGCATCTGCCGGCGGTATGATGAGCGCTTCCCACAATCTGTGGTTTCGCAGTTTGTAATGTGCAGCTTCACGTAGTTTGCGTGTGGGAAGGTGGGGAGGGATGGTATGTGAAATGTATTGGCGCGCCAGGGATTTGAGCCATTGCTGGGTGTTGTAGTTGAAATTGGTGTGAGGGAGCATTGTGCCGTGGCGGTGTAAGGTTGCGGTACATCATGGCTTTGGTGATGATCTGTAGAACCTTGGTGTGGCCGGGTTCCTCTAGATTGGATGCCATGCGGCGGATGGCGTAGAGCTCCAGGTCGGTGTGGCGGCCACTGCGCAGTTGCTTGGCTGCTTCAAAGGCGTCTTTTGTGTGTTTGGTGAGAGGTTGCTAAGCACGGTAAGAGCGTGATGTTTGGTAGAGGTGAACAGGTGGGGTTGTCGGAGTGTTTTTTGGCGTCGGCGCAGTCGTTGGAAGAGCCGACGGTGGTTGGCAAACCTGGGACAAACATGTGTCCAGTTTTTGGCAAATTGCCAGCCTCGTGGTGGGAAATCAAAGGCCAGTTCAGCAGGGGCGTCCAACTGGTTGCGTTCATGGATCCAGGCTTGGTCGTAGTTGTCATCGGATGATATAGTTGGATGGTGGTGAGCTGGTCCACGGTGTCGTGAGTGTGCCAGTAGCGGAGAGAAAGTTCGGCTGTGATGGGGACGTTGTTCATGGCGTTGTATGAGCTTAGCCCTGCGGTTGTGTGCACGGTGGGGGATGCCGATGCCGGTGGAGCCAATTCAATGTAGAAATGGCCGTGCTGGTGAAAGGCTCGTTGAAAAAGGTGAAGGTTGAACTGGAATTTGATGTATTCCGAATTGGGCGCAAGGAAGTGGTGGAAGTGGTATAGGTGTGGGGAAGAACGTTGAGATGGCGAAAGCGCATCGGTGTGTGGTGGAGGGGTAGGCAAAGAGTAGTGCAATGTTCAGGCCAGTGGCGAAAATTGCGTTGGCTCGCTCAATGTAAGTTGGTTGCTTTGTGTATAAGAGTGGAAAGGGCTTGGTGAAGACGAAAAAGGTGGTGCATGTTGTCGTGGTGGCCGGTGCCAAGTCTGGAGAGGGGCTTGCAGAGCATAGGAAACCGTGGGTGGGTGAACGTGTCCCAAGTTGGGGGCGACCTTGTTGCAGTGTTGTGGAGCGACGACGGCGTGGTGTGCCCCCAACAGGGTTGTTGTATTCGATTGGCAAAGCAGGTGGCGGTAGCTTCATCCAGGGAGCTAACGGATGGCGTCGGATTTCATCTCCATTCGTCCCAATCTCGATCTGCTGCTGGTGGCGGATGTCGTGGTCCTCCGCTTGGGCGGGGGCGTGTTGTCACTGCCTGTATGTTCTGGTGATGGGGAGGGGTGACGTTGGCGGCGAGGGTGGTTTGTCAGAGGAAGAGGAGAAGGGCGATGGCATGATGGTGTGCTTAAGATACCGCGGAAACCGGATCGGAGGCGGTGCTGGCGCGGGCGATCCCACAAAGTTAGGATCGACTTGATGGACTTAGTGAGTGTGTTGGAGAAACAAGACGTGGAGATGTTGGGTGACATCAGCTGCTTGTTGGAGGATGGCGCTGTAAGCTGTGAGAGGAGAGTCGATGCTCTGCGTAATGTTTGAGCCGTGTCTGTGGCCACGCGGCGCAGAGCTATGAAAGCGCGGACAGGGCAAGCTGCAAACGCACTGAATGAACCGGGTGTGCAAACGAATCAAATCGAGCCCCAGAGCGGATAAACTCAACTGTGTGTAGGCCATCAAAAGAAAGAAGAACCCTAACAACTGCAAAAGTTGTTCATGGAAAGATTCACAAGCTTCATCGGAAAGTTATCGCAAAACTGCGACAAGTTGAGAACATCGGGGCCAAGCCGCGCAAAGGATCAGCAAGCGCTTTTTTGCCAATGGAAGTGGTCTATGGTAGCAGAGCCAAATGGTAGGTGGAGTTGTCGGCGGTGATTGCAGGGTATGTCAGTGTGGTGTCAGGTGGAGTGGCATCGGCAGCCCGCGCGAGGCCTTTGACGATAGCATGGTCTGGGTGTATTTGCCTCTGGAATGGTGCGCGGCCCCGCCGTGATGTTGGTTAAGCAAGTCTTTGGCGTATTCTTCGCCGCCTTGCTTGTAGCTCACGCCGGAGCCCCGTGCAATCAAATGGATGATCGCAGCTGCCCTGTTTTTGTCGAGCCACCACTTGTGTAGGATTCTGGCTGTCTAGGGGTGATCAAAGGGATATTGATGGGTTGCCTTGAACCCCTGAGCAAAAAGGCCGGGGCAACGCAGTAAAGCTGTCGCAGCATATGGATAATATTGCCGCGTTGACTGGCGTGTCCGCCCAGGATGTGAGTGTGAGAGCTTGGTGGGTGGTTGTTTGTCGTTTCCCATTGTTGTGACTGGTCATTCCAGTCAGTGTGCGTGAATTGCTGGAAGTTGCACATGTTGGTGTAGTTGAGGCCGCTGTCAACCAGGAGTTTGGCAATGTAGGCATGATGGGGTGCATTACCCGGTGTGAGCTGGTTGGCTTGGTGGTTGAGCAAAACTTGAATTCGCTGATATTGAGGCTTGGCGCTGAAGTTGGGCGGTGGACGGAATGTATGTGGTGGGCGCAGCATCGTCGGGTTGGTGGGTCGTTGGTCCCATTGATTAGTCTTGGTGGTGTTGGTCCGATGGGCGGTATGACGTTGAGTGTGGTGGCGGTGATGTCTGTGATGAGGGCGGCGATGACGATGGCGGCGGGTTGGGGCGCAAGATCGGTGCCGCTCCTGAGTCGCATCCGATTGATTCTCGGCCATAGCAGCGGATGGGGCCGATGCTGCTGCGTTGTCAGTGTGGGCTGGAGTATAGCGGGAGGCGACGGCGGTTGCTGAGGCGATGCCAGTGCAGCAGGGTTGGGTGGTGGGGCAGGTGTGGTTGCCGGGGCTGATGTCGGTAGTGGTGAGGTGGAAGCTGGTGGTGGAAATGCTGAAAAAGGAACTGGCCGCCAATTGTGTTGGGGGTGCCAGGTGTGGGATGGTTGGGTCGATTGGGTCGATGATGGCTGAGGCTGCGGGCGTACTACACGCGGGCCTCCTGCAGGCGGTGGTGTGGGCGCTGGAAGGGGAGCGGTGAAGGTTGGAGAGGGGGAGGCGCCGGTAATCGGTTCTGGTTCGATGGGTGGTGCCGCAGGCTGCATGTAAACAGGATACTGGAAAATGGAAGCCGTCTGTGGTGTGCGCCAGGTCTGCCGTAATAAATGGCGGTTGTTGATCGCAGCTGCTGAATGCGGCGCTCCAAACAGCAGCAGGTCGGCCGCACCGCAAGGGAAGGTGAACCACGCTGAGCAGTGAACTAATTATGAACAGAATGGGCCCTGCTGCTTTGAGAGTGATCGAATTCTGCACGCATGCATTCCGCTTGAAGATCATGACATGTATGGAAAGTATGCGACCGGCTAGTTGTCCGCGAGCCCGGCGGGTTCTGAGCCCGCGGAATTGTAGATGTTTCAGCAAAAATGTTTTCAAGTGTGCAAACTCCGCTGCGTCACGGCTGCAAGTTGGCTGCGAAGTGAGTTTGGGGGGATATCAAACAAAACGGCATGGAACCAAAGAACAGCGCAGCGCAGGGAAAGTAGGGTATTGTCACGGTGCAGGTAAGTCATTGGACGTCTCCAGTGATATTCTCAGGACACTGCAGAGCTTTGTTACGTGGAGCTCTGCAGGCCTGCTCGGCTCCCCTGCGTAGTGGTTGAAATTCGCTTTGGGACAGGGTTTGACGCGCGCGCACAGATTGTATATATATATATATATACGACCCCGACCCAAGACAATCTGCAGGATGCGCCAAAATGTTTCGACCACCGCAAGACCTCCAAAACATTGATTGCAGCCCACATAAAACACGAGAATCCGGAACCAGAATGGACAAGCGACTAATTAGGCTGTGAATTCTAGTGTCTAGTTGAACAACTAAATTGGGACAACCTCTGTTGGCGACTTGGCCTTGGTTCTCAAAGCACTTGCGCTCTTCCTGCATGGATGCATCCACTCAACTCTCCGCTGACCGCCCAATCGTTTGCTGGGAGAAAAGTATGGTCTCACGAGCAAGCAACTGTCCGCAGAAGTTCTGCCTCCCGCATCCTCATCATCGTTTCCGTAGAGGAAACCTTCTCCTCCCACGCCCACTCCATCACCTGTGGGATCCTCAGGACATTAAGCCGAGCCCATACGGAGTTGGCTCACTGCGTCCCCCCTTCGATGTTGAGCTCGTGGCAAAGGAAGTGTCATGCTTCAGAACCTCGGTGACTCGATCTCGGTGGGCTCCAACCTCCTTATTTTATTTGGAAACCCTACTAGCGATGGCCTCCCACCTACTAGCGATGGCCTCCAACCTACTAGCGATGCCCTCCAGCCTACCAGCGATGGCCTCTACCCTAATAGCAATGGATAGCGATGGCCTCCACCCTACTAGCGATGATGGCGTCCAACCTACTAGCCGCAGGCCTCCACCGTATAGCGATGGCCTGCAACCAAATGCATGGGCTACTAGCGATGGCCTACAGTTCACTAGTGATGGCCCCCAACCTAATAGCCTTGGCCTCCACCCTACTAGCGATGGGTTCCAACCCACTAGCAGTCACTAGCCATGGCCCCCAACCTACTAGTGATGACCTCCAACCTAGTAGCGATTGCCCCCAACCTACAGAGAATGACCCCGTGACCAACGCTGGCTTGAAACAGTCAAGGCCCGGACAAATGGGCACGCGCAGGTGCCAACAATGCGCAAACTGCTCCGCAACAAAACGCGCCAGAAAACACCAGGGAGTTGGGCACGGCCAAGAAATTTCAATGCCAAGTGGCCCCGCTGCGAGTCGCCAGCAAATCAATGCTCTCTCTTCTAAATTTGATCCAAAAAAGCTGAAAAGGTTTTAAGCCTCGCTTTGTCTATTGCGGCGGCGACGTAGCCCGTATGCATCAACCCAATTTGAGGGTTGCAGGCCAGCTGTTCACAAACAAAAGCCAGATAGCTAGGCAGAATCCCACGACGACCTGTTGACGTGCGACTGGCTGGAACAAGCATGCGCGCAGCCTGCGCGCCCAGCTTACGGCGCCTCCACAGCGCGCAAAACCAGCTGACACCAGCGCCGGCGCGCTTTGCCAGCTGACAACACCGGCAGCGGCGCCAGCGCCCGACCAGAGCCGCCGCCTATCTTAAACGTGCGCTCAGCCAGCTCACAGCACCCAGGACCACAACACCAGCGCCAGCACCGACACCCTTTCGAAAGCGCACGCAGCCAGCTCATTCTTATTTGCAGTAAGAACCCCATAGCTATTGGGAATAACAGCGTATGATCTTGCGCGTATAAGTTTATGCGCGAAAAATTATGCGCGCAAACAGCAAAGCCCGTAAGTGTCATTGCCCTAAGGCCAAGCAGCATCCAGCGCCACTATTGACTTTGCAGGACGCTTTGAAGCAACGATCTGTAGAACGATAAGGCCATATGATCTTGCGCGTATAAGTTGATGCGCGCAAACGTATGCGCGCAAACGGCAAAGCCCGTAGGCTTCACTCGTCCAAGGCCAAGCAGTATCCAGCACGAATATTGTGTGTGTAGCATGCTGAAACACGCTGAAACAATGGTCGGTTGAGAGCCTGACGTTGCGCGTAGAACATTAAACGTGCAAAAGTATGCGCAAACAGTACAGTACAGCCCTTGACACAGCTGTCGGCCAAAACAGAAACTGAAGAGTGTCAATACCCCACAGTGCTAATAGACAAAGAACGAACGCTCAAGCGACAACACCGCATGATGTTGCGTGCGTAAGTTCATGCGGCTGGCACTTCCGTGTCAGAAGCGGCTGTTGGTCGCCCTTCACTGCTACAAGCGGCGGGGCAGTTTGTCACCCTTCACTGTCAGAAGCGGCGGTTGTTAACGCTTCACTGTCAGAAGCGAAACATTTTTCATCAAAACTTTCACTCTCAAGTTTTTTATTCAATGAGGGTAGGAATTGTTTAGGGTGTTATGTGTTCTTTCTGGGTCTGGGTTCCTGGGTTGTAATTATACTGTGGTTATAGGTTGTAAGAGTTTATGGTCCATAGTTATGTTGTAGTTTTGTTTCTTAGAACGTCGTCGTCCTTCGGCCATTCTCCCCGTTTGCCTGTTGGAGAACATCATCTTGAAAAAAGTCGGGGCGCCCAATCAGTTGAAATTGAGAAAGGAGCACACCTTTTCAGCAGTGATTTTGACAACTTTCTTCTGAAGAGGTTGTTTTGAAACAAGGCACTGATGAGTAAACGTGTTTTTTCCTGATGGAACGCAATCAATCGCATTCTTTCATCTCAAGGGCAATTCGCACCGCTGCTTGTCTTCAGCGCTTCGTTTTGCTCTTTTGCTTCGCGATGACCAGCAGTGGAGACAAAATGACCGATGAGCAAATAGCACAGATGCTTCACGATGCCGATGAGGTAGAGCGTGTGGCAAATGCCAATGAGATTGAAAGTTTCGCTGTTGAGGCATCCGAAGATGACGAGGAGGAGGAGGAGAAAGGAACGGAAGATGAACACACTCAATCGCCACCGCCCCCACCATCACCACGATCTCCACCTTCGTCGCCACCATCACCTCTCTGGACCCCAAAGCGTCCAGATCTCACACATACTGTTTGGGGTCTCTTGCCGGGATAATACTTTTGTATTTGTGTATTCGTTACTCAACGAAATCATTATTCGCCCGTGTTGGATCGTGGGAGGAACTTTAAAAGTACCTCCTGGCTACGTTTGGAATAGCTAAGGAAAATAAGGTAAGGAAATTAACACGTTGAAAGATATTTGGTAGCCAACTGGGGTGTTGTCAAACCTGGGGACATAGAACTTGTCAGCTACGGAATGGGCGCCCGGAGCCGTACTTTGACGGCTCCGCTACCAATGTGAAAGACAAGGTGAAAACACCAAAGTCAGAACCCTATGCGCTCTAGGTCACAGGGCGAACATGAAGGGGGGGAAGTGTGAACCAACGGCCTCACGTAGTGACTCAAGGGCCCTTTCACGGGGATGAACCAACGTGAAGGGGCGGCGGAATCAAGCCCACATGTTTTCGTGGCACAAAGCTCACAATCACATTTTTGTTGTTGCGCGCATCGGTTGCAAAAAATATATTGCGATTTTGGCCTGCTGGAACGTTGCTTTGCATCACAATTTGCAATGATGCATTGCAGGTGATCGTGTCGCTTCTACGTTTTAAGAAACGATTTGTGCATAAGCGGTGCTTTGTGTTAATTGAATGTTGGCTATTTGTTGGATTTTGCAATTGAATGTTTGCACGCTTTATTGCAACTTGAAATGAGTTGAATTGTTAGGCTTTCTTGCGCATAACGCATTTGTTCAAGTATTTGGCTAAACTCACTTGACCCGACTTCCTTGACATGCTTGCTTGATTTAACTTCTTGGGTTTGCTTTGTTTGCTCACTTGATTTGAATTATTTGATTTGATTTACCGCGATGGGAAACATCATCCAGAACGCAAAATGTGAAAAAATCTTTTCCTATGAAACGCTCTTGGCAATATATGTACTGTTTTTCCCCACATCACTATGTGGGGTTCTTGTTTTTAGCTCTGCCCCGCCGCTCCGCCGTCCTCCGCCTCCTCCGCCGCCGCCTCCACCCATCTTACACCACACTCATCTCACACCACCTATCTTACACCACCCTTCTTGTACCACTCATCCTACACCACTCATCTTACGCCACTCACACCACTGATCTTACACAAATCATCTCACACCAGTCATCTCACACCACCCATCTTACACCATTCATCTCACACCACCCATCTCACACCACTCATCTCACACCACCTATCTTACACCACCCATCCTACACCACTCATCTTACACCACTCATCTTACACCACTCATCTCACGCCACTCATCTTACACCACTCATCTTACGTCACTCATCTCACACCACTGTTCTTGCACAAATCATCTCACACCAGTCATCTCACACCACTCATCTCACACCACCTATCTTACACCACCCATCTTACACCACTCATCTTACACCACTCATCTTACACCGCTCGTCTCACACCACTCATCTTACTCCACTCATCTCACACCACTCATGTCACACCACCTATCTTGCACTACCCATCTCACACCACCCATCTCACACCACTCATCTTACACCGCCCATCTTACACCACTCATCTTACACCACTCATCTCACACCACTCATCTCACACCACTCATCTTTCACCACTCATCTTACACCACTCATCTTCCACTCATCGAACACCACTCATCTTGCACGATCCGCAGGGGCAGTACACCGAGCCTTCCGGAGGAGCTGCGGAACGCGTGGTCGCGGCTGGGCTGCGGCTGCCTTTTGTGTGGCAGGCACAGCGCTTGGTGAACGTGGAGTGCAGATTATGTGGCTGGCACAGTACACAGAGCCTTCAGGAGGAGCTGCAGAACGTGTGGTCGGCGCTGGGCCGCGCCTGCCTTTGGGGTGGCAGGCGCAGCACTTGGTGAACCTGGAGCGCAGATTTCATGGCAGGCGCAGTGCGCAGAGCCTTCAGGAGGAGCTGCGGAACGCGTGGTCGCCGCTGGGCCGTGGCTGCCTTCTGCGTAGGAGCCGCGGCAGAGCCTTCAGGAGGAGCTGCGGATCGTGGGGTCGCCGCTGGGCCGTGGCTGCCTTCTGCGTAGGAGCCGCGGCAGAGCCTTCAGGAGGAGCTGCGGATCGTGTGGTCGCCGCTGGGCCGCGGCTGCCTTTTGTGTGGCAGGCACGGCGCTTGGTGAACCTGCATTTGTGCACAAAGCCTTTGGGAGGAGCTGCGGAACGCGTGGTCGCCGCTGGGCCGCGGCCGCCTTTTGTGTGGCAGGCACAGCGCTTGGTGAACGGGTGCGTGCGCGGTGTTGTTGGCGCCTCATCGAACAGAAGCCAGGCTTACTGACTAAGTGTGCTCCATTTCGGCATGTTGTCATGAGGCTAGGGCTTCTCCTGCTCGCTACGATGCGTGCGATGGCAGCCACACTATTGCAATCTGTCACTGTGCTACTTACAGTCACATGGAGTGATCCTTCGGTCATATTTCTCTTTAATCTTCTATCGCCTGTGCCAGGTACTCTGAACTACACGAACTACACGGGGTGCAGTTGACACTTGCGCTACCTCTGTTAAAAAAAGAACTGGTGTGCTGCACGTCTTCTGGAGAAGCTCATATTCAACGGACATACAATGGAAGCTACACCCGCGCAGTCTATCTCTCTCATTCCCTCACTGATTCTCTCAATCACGCACTGCTTCTTCTTTCACCTCACTGTTTCTTTCCGTCCTCTGTTCTGATCAGTCTCTACTTCTCATTGATAATTCTGACAAGCTTAACATGTGGGGTTATCCGGTCCTTTTTTGGGTTTGGTTTCAATCCATTGTCAATTTTCAATTCTTACCTTGATTTGCAATTTCCTATGATCCTATGTAAGTAATGCACGAAAAAATCGCAATTTTACAACAAATTCGCACGACCGGACCGGCAGACAATTCCACCAACAATCTTTCAAACTTTTGATTGATTAAAGTATTTCCAAAATTTGAGCTGGGCCACATGGTTGGTTTCCAATATGTCTTTTCAACATGGTACACTCATCGCAATTCCAGGCGGGCCCGCTTAGAAGTCTTCTTTAAACTCCAACCACATTCAAACTCCAAAAATTCTTTGAGGTGTCTAGCGCGACTTTTTCTCTTGTCGTTGCAGTGCTGGACTTCTGCAGCTAATTCCACTGTTTGTTCTCAAAAATCTTCAAAACAACATCGGGGACAGGTCCTCCTGAAGGCTCTGTGTACTGCGCCTGCCACAGAAGGGCAACTGCGGCCCAGCGCCCAGGCGTCCGCCAGGTCCCCCTGGCGGTTCTGTGTGCTGCGCTTGCCACCTGAAAGGCAACTGCGGCCCAGTGGCGCCCACGCGTCCAACAGATCCTGAAGGCTCCGTGTACTGTGCCTGCCCACGGAAAGGCAACCGCGCCAGCGGCGCCAGGCGTCCAAGTCTGTGATGAGTTGTGTATGATAAGTGGTGTAAGATGAGATGATGAATGATAAGTGGTGTATGAGTGGCCGCGGTTGCCCTTCGCAGGTGCAGTACACAAAGCCTTCAGAAGGACCTGGTGGACGTGTGGGGGCCACGCGGTTGCCCTTGCGGGTGCCTTTCGTGTAGCAGGCGCAATATACAAAGCCGTCAAGAGGAGTTACGGAACGCGGGCGCGGATAGACCGGCGTAAATACAAATATTTTCTGTGCTCCCACAGATTCATTATTATAGATCATCCATCATCTGTGCCAGATACTCTAAACTGCACGGGGTGCAACTAACACTGACAATCATTCTGTCAATCATTCTCTATTTATTGTTTCACATCGGTATCTCTTTCTTCCACTTTTATCGTCCAATATTTTTCCGTCCTTTTTCTTACTAATTTCTACTTATCGTTACTTCTTCTTCAAAGCTTAACACATAGAATTATCTGGACCTTTTTATATTGTACTATCAAGTTCAAAGAATAACATATCAATATAACTAAAAACGTTAAATTCTTTTCTATTATCATTTGTTCCTTTAACTTTGGTTATATAAACATCTATTTCAAACATTCACAATATACAATTATGTAATAAATATATAAATAACTAAAATGCGAATATACATATGGAAAATCATCATGATTCAAAAGGAATACCGATAGTTCACGAACTTGATTGCAGAATACAAGCTTGCAACTCTACTGATTGTGTCTAGCTAAAAAATCTCACAACTCTCAAAACCAGTACATGTTTTTGAAGAATCTGAAGATTTCATGCCTTGATGATGCATTCACCAACAGTACAATTCACTCAAACCGATTCTGTTTGATGTATGGCCAGGGCTTGGCTCGAGTCTGCCCCTAATTGAAGGCACACGGATCATTTTGGAACACAGACTCAACAAAAAGTCTCCAAAACTGTAGTCTTATAGCATTTTGCGGATCATTTTGGAACACAGACCGATTACAACTAGCCCAAGAAAGCATACTTTGCCATCAAAAGTCAGCGGATCTGTAGTCTTACAGCATTTGGCGGATCATTTTAGAACACAAACCGATTACAACTAGCCCAAGGCAGAATACTTCGGCTCTTTTTTCTACAAAAATCACCAATCTGGCAGCGGAGCAATCATGCTTCTTCAGGGTCTCTTTGGGTTTGCCTAAGGGATTCACTTCTTCAGGGTTTCTTTTTTTGCTTGGAGCTTTGCTTCGTTAGGGTCTCTTTGGGTTTGACTTAGGGCTTCACTTCTTTAGGGTGTCTTTTGGTCTGGCTTAAAGCTTTGCTGCTTTAGGATGTCTGGGGTTACACATACGGCTTCACTTCTTTTAGGGTCTGTTTGGGCTTGGCTTGGGGCTTCGCTGCTTTAGGCTGTGTTTGGGCTTGACTTACGGCTTCACGTCTTTAGGGTCTGTTTTGGTTTTGCTTCCCCAGAAACCACTTCCCAGAAACCGCTTCCAAAACGAGGCGGAAACCCTAATTGAAAGGGCGTGTGGATTAGTCAACAATATGATATTGCTCTTTGCTATGTTGGGGGCCAGCCACAATTTCTGTCTGTCTTGCAGTGTTTGATTCCTCCACTGGTGGCCATACATCTTACTCTTTGCTTTGTTGGGGGCGCTGGCCTGTGCCAGTGCCCAACCTGAGACGCTGGCCTTTGTCGCTGGCGCCCCTTCTTCACTAGCGGCAGTTGTTTACACAGTGGAGGATCCAGCTGTGGGTCTGCTGCACAGAGGACAGCAGTACACAACGGTGCAGATAATCCATATGAAAAGGCTTCATTCGCTAAAGGGCAAAAGGACAGCAAACAAAAGGAATCGGAATCAAGAAGTGAAAACACCATTGAAACATGAATGAGGATGAAGATCCTAGCTAAATAGAACACACAGTCCCTGTTATTTCACTGCAAAGTCACAATCTGCACAGGGAACTTGTCAGAACTCGTGCAGCTCCTCGTGCAATTCTTTTCTCCATTAGTATCATTAGTCAAGTTTCCTAAAAATCCAGGAACCAAACAAATCATTTGCGAGCTCAAGGAAGCGCCCTCAGGCGGGGAAAGCTTCCTTGAAAAAGCGTGAGCTTCCCTGCGTCCAGTTACTAGAAACTTGAGTAGCTAGGAGCTTGCTCCTTCACATAATTGAGTAGGCGTGTACTTAATGAAGTAAGGCGGCAGGACCAGCGGCAAAAAAACAACGCAATTCTTTTCTTGGACGAGTGAAACAGTGAAAGCGAAAGTGAGTCGTCTCTCGACTCTTTCATCCGAAGCTTCGGACAAAGCCCCTGACAATTCAAGGTAACATGGCGATCGCAGTTGTCGATCGAAGCAAACAAGAGAAACAGATTTGCTCAACAAAGAAACACCTAATTCTTTGTTGTCTTTCTTTCTACCTTTATTATACCTCTATTTTTTCCACCTCCAGTACTTTTTTTCGGTAAAGTTTTTTTTGCAAACACATTGTTCTCTGAGGGAATGGCAAAACACGTTCCAAGGCTTCTTCCATGTGCTCCTAACAAAGCGAATGGTTTTCATTCCGTTCTTTCTCCCCAATTCCATTGAAACAAGTGCCTTGCTTCTAGGAGCAAAGGGCCTTACTAGTAGTAACAGGTGCCTCGCTACTAGTAACAAGTGCCTTAGAATTAAATCAAATTAGCATTTTTTATCCTTTTTCTCCTTCCCTTTTTGGCAAACAAGAAGAGTTGAGCATTACACGCTTGGTTGAGAGTGTTACACTCAGTCCCAACACGAAGCACGCACTAACACACTGGCGTCAGCTGCCGTCCTCCGTGTCATGTGGCATCTCCCAAATTTGGATGTCTGCCTCTTCAAACACCTCGATCTCTGGTTCAATTCCATTTAAGAACGCTCAGAAACAAAGACACACAGATTTCCACCTCTCGTGCCTCATCCAAACAACTTTGGAAAATTTCGGCCTCCAACCATGTGGTTTTAGGGTCAGAATCTAAAATAGCACTGCCCAACTGCAAAAAGAATCAGATGTCATCAAAGCTATCTCTCCTCGACATTTTGCTTCACTTTGCTTTCCGGATAATGTCTCTTTTCCAAGCGATCGTACAAGGTCTCAGACAGTCTCAAGGTCTCAGCAAAATCACTCATCGCAATGTCTGCGCTTCAACATTATCTATTTGGTGCAATTTGACATGGGAAAAGGAGAACTGAAGAAAGAAGTTGCACTCTGCCCATATGCTGTCAAAGGTGCACTTGTGTCTACCCTGAGAACAACCACCAAGTCCACAAGGCTTTCCTGAAGTGAGTTGGAACAGGTCAGCAAACAAAGAAAGCAAACACAAACTTCGCCCTGGGACTTGGATCTTCAATCAAGGAGCATCCAAAAAGCTCGATGAGTGGAAGTCAACCACGCAACCTCCGGACTCCTGTGCCAAATACCAAGACTTCTGCTGACTGCGACCCAAACTTCTCAAACGAACTCTGTCCAGCAAGGGCTCTAGCGCATCCTGCACCTGAGGAAGGAGGTGCCCAAATAGAGAAAAACAACTCGACACGAGCAAGTAAAACAAAAGATGCTTAGTCACAGGCCATCTCCTCGTCGAAAATGCTGCAGTCCTCCACAAAAGCTTGAACGCGTGAAATCAATCCCCACAAAATGCAAGAGACTATCTGAAACGATGTCTTACAGAACCTATTGATATTTTCAAAAAAACTAAGAACCACATGAATAGTGCGAGCGCTTCTTCAAGGAAGCTCCCCCCCGCCCTCAGGCGGGGGAAGCTTTCTTGAAGAAGCGTGAGCTATTCTGCGTCCATACCAGTAAGTAAGTAGCTAGGAGCGTCTTCCCTTACTTAAATAGGCGCCTACTTAATTAAGGGCGGGCCCCCCAAAAAGACAGCTCCAGCTCATCATCCCATTCGCGGTAAAGCCTTGGTCATGCGCCATTCACTTTTGACACATGTGCTGGTCAGCCAAGTGACCGTTTCTCCCGCACCATCTTGCTGACCTTGGAGACCCACAAACAGTACAAAGGGCCTCCAACCGTTCGTAGCGTCCGATCGCTCCGTTCGTAGCGATGCCCTTTGCTCCTAGTAGCGTCCGATCGCTCTGTTCGTAGCGATGCCCTGTGCTCCTAGTAGCTTCTTGTTACTAGTACTATGGCCAGGAGCCCTTTACTCCTACTAGCTTCTTGTTACTAGTAGTATGGCCAGGAGCCCCTAGCAGCGACCTTGCTCCTAGTATCGATGCCCTTTTCTTGTTACTAGTAGTATGGCCAGGAGCCCCTAGTAGCGTCCGATCGCTCCATTCATAGCGATGCCCTTTGCTCCTAGTAGCTTCTTGTTACTAGTAGTATGGTCCTCGCTCCGTTCGTTGCGATGCCCTTTGCTTCTAGTAGCTTCTTGTTACTAGTAGTATGGCCAGGAGCCCCTAGCAGCGTCCTTGCTCCTAGTAGCGACGCCCTTTGCTCCTAGTAGCTTCTTGTTACTAGTAGTATGGCCAGGAG